AGAAGTTGGAAGCCTCCAGGCTTCTTTCAGTAGTCTGGAGGCATGAGAGAGAACTTAGCTCTTTTACTGCTGAAGGGAGCTTCATAATACATAATAGTTCCATGTGTCTATTCACTTCTGGTTGGTATTGTCCCCACCTTTTGACTGCAGGGGTGGGCAGTGCTGGGAGGAATATTCACTGCGATCTTGGTATGGGCATGGGTTTTAGTTTCTCCTGCATGTATTCCAGCGGTCAAGTGTGAGATGTAGTAGATTCATGTGCAGCCCTGGTGTCAGCTCTACTGACTGGCATGTGTGAGCACTGTGTTAGCTTCTCATTGCTGTGACCAATACCAGACAAGGAACATGGGAGGAAAATTTTGGATCGCAGTTTGCCCCCAGTGACCCACTTCCTCCAGGAAAGCTGTACCCCCTAAAAGTCCCACAACCTTCCCAAACAGCCCTGTCAACCAAGGACTTGGAAATGTTATGTACAGGGTTTAGCCAAAGCACCCAAGAGAATGAGTCAAGTGGATTACTACAAGTTCAAGACCAGCCTGGACTATAGAGAGAGGCCTTAGAGAGAGACAGAGTAAAGGAAAATTGGTCTGGAAGGAGAAGACCCTGTCACACACACTTGGCATTCGTCACCGGCTTTTTTGTTCCCACTTGATTCAACCATAGCAGAAGAGGGGTCAGGTCAGTCCACTTAGTGCTTCCCTCATACGAACAGGCCTCCAGTCTTCCTGGGCCCTTTGGGCACTGGGTGAAGCACTCTTCCTCCATGCTCCTGCTGAGCCTCCTTTACAGGGCTAGCACCATGTTTCCCTCATAGTCCTTGGACTCCATCATGCTTTGGGGCATGGGGAGATGGCTCAATCAGTCTGGTGCTTGCCACACAGGTATGAGGGACTGAATTCCATCCCCAGCATAGAGGAAAAAAACTAAGCTTGGTAGTATGCACTTGTAATCCCAGATCTGGGGATATGGAGACGGGAGGATGCCTGGGGTCCACTGGACACACAGCCTAGCCTATCTGATGAGCCCCACAAAAGGCCATATCTCAGCTAAAGAACGGCATCAGACGTGGGCCTCTGCCCTTCACATATATGTATGCATGTGAAGTATACATGAGGAGGGCGCAGGAGACAGAAAGGGAGAGAGTGTTGCTTTGACTGACAGCTCTGCTGGTGAATTCTTGATTTCTAGTCACTGCGTGACGACTTCAGAATAGCCAAGCACACTGAGAAACACATGCATTGATGGCAGAAAGAGTGTGAGAGAGGAATGCAGATGGTGTGGGCCCCAAGTGAGCTTGTTAACCAGATTGGCAATGACTGTTTATCCCTCCTTCTGGCTGCAGAGATGCCTCATTGGGTTGGAATAGCCTCTTTTTCTACTTTACTCCTATCAAAGCCTCCAGGAAGCCAAAATCACGCAGTCCCATACGGTGGCTCTTTACTGCACACCGATTAACTGCAGAATGCCATGTTAGTGGCAAGCCACTATCTCCGGTGCAGTCTATAGAACCCAGCCCAAAAGTTCAGATCATCTGGAAGCTGCCTCAGATTGCTGCCTCCACCACTCTTTCCCTCCCTGGAGAGCCAGCCCTGTCCAGCACCCAGGAGGCCTTCACCATGTTCGCAGGTGTCTGGTTCGCTGTTCTGGAGTTTTGGAAGTGCCAACCTTTTACTGCTAGGGTGTGCACTGAACCTTCAAGGCCAGGTGCCCACCTTCATGTTCCTGTTTCTGACGCCCTACATGGGGCTTTACTGACCATTTGTAGAGTTGTGAATGGACATACACTTTCCTATCTCCTAGCAAGGATCTGTAGAATGAATGAATGTATGAATGAATGAATGAATGAATGAATGAATGAGGAAATGAATAAGCAAAGCAGCAGTTGGCATGAGACAGTGAGGCAGCTTTCATTGCTGGTATCCTGGGCTGTGGGTGAGTGAAAGAGAAGACGTCCATTTAGCTTCCTGATCACCCACTGGCCATTGCACCTAAGGGTGAGAAGAGACTGGTTTCCGGTACTTGCATTCCCATTGTGCCCTGCAAGCAGCAGGGCCAAGAGGTGCTGCTGTGGATAAGCTGTGGATTATGACCCAGTGACTCAACCTCACTGCAGTGCGCAGCACCGTTACCCTCGGCATCTTTCTTATTTCGCCTCCCTTTCATCCTCGAAACTGTGCAGGAATGAAGGGCAGGTGCCACTGTCCCCATTTCCTATATGGGTCAGGTGGGGAGGGAGCTTCAAGGCATCCATGAAGTCCCCCACTGGGGACCAGCCTCCCTCTGCCATGCTTTCTGTGACAATGTGTGCTCCTCTGATCAATTGTTCCCTTCAAGTTGTCTGGATGGTTTTCTAGGCTTAAGGCTTTGGTGCTATTTTTACTATTCCTGGACCTTTTGGCCCCTAGAACAGACTCCTGAGGGGATGCCAGGCCACTGTGATGGGCAAGGACAGGTACCTGTGGACCCTTTTGTTCAGTGCAGACTTGAGCTACGCATGTGAGTGGGAAGGCCCTGGGGAAGACAGCTGCTGTCACATCAGCTCCACCGTGCAGTCTCAAGGGAAGCTCCCAGTGTCTAAACCTTACAGCCGTTCCTGCCCTGCTCTAGAATAGATGCAGGGTGACCATTCATCCGTGAAGCCCGGCTTCTCCATATGCCTGCCAGGCCTGTGTGAAAGCTGCCCTGGCCAGGGGTGGGGGGACACACAGACACGACTTTCCCAAGGAACTTAAAGGCCTTTGTCATCTCTCCTAAGCTCCTTCATTGTTAGTTGCACCACAGCACAGATGAGCAGGGAGGGAGTGGATGGAACCAGGGCCTGTGCCCACAGCCAGATCAGGCTTCAGAGGTGGCCCATCTGGTTTCCCAACTTCAAATTTAACTTTTTAGGAAGGTAAGAATGAATGAGAAGGGAAACTCTGTAGTTGTTCTGAAACACCAGGTGCAAGGATACAGCAGCTGTCCAAAGGAGAGAGACAGAAGTTGTAAAAGCCAGAACTGACCGTTTAGCCTAGCAGGCTTTCCACTGACCCAGCCCAATGTAAGTATGGTGCTGATCCAGCCACAGCTATAGCACATACCCAATATGATGAACTCAGAACAGGGATGAGTTCTTTCAGCTCAGTTTAAGGTTTCTATCCATGACAGAGCCTCATTGCTGTGGCTTTGTGGGAAGCAGTACTCATGGCCAAGCATGTCTCAAAGCAAAACTGCTCAGCTAGGGGACTCAGAGAAGGCTTGGTGGTTAAGAGCACTTGCTGCTCTTGCAGAAGATCCAAGTTCAGTTCCCCAACCCCACTGAGGCTGCTTGTAATTGCCTGAAACTAACCACAACTTCAGTGAATCCAGTGCCCTCTTCTGGACTATACACACACATACACACACATACATACACACACACACACACACACACACACACACACACACACACACACACACACACACACACACACACACACACACACACACACACACACACACACACACACACACACACACACACACACACACACACACACACACACACACACACACAAAAGTAAATCTAAACAAATAACAACAATAAAAAAACTGCTTAACTCATGACTGGGAAGACAGGAAGTGACAGGAGGGACTCCTATATCCCCCTCAAAGGCAAGCTCCTAACATCTTAAAGGCGCTAATCTTCCCAAAGGCTCCAATATCTCCCAGGAGTGCTTCATTGGAGACCAAGCTTTCAACACATGGGCCTTTAAGGATATTAATGGTCAAATCAGAGTCACCAAATTCAAGAAGCAGAGAAATTCTCACATGCCTTCTAGTTCAGGTTCGTTCTGGTCTAGGTGTCCTTGTGGGTTGCCTGTTGTAATAAATGGTTATCTGATTGTGAACTCGGTTAGATTTACAATCACCATGGAAACACACTTCTGGGTGTGTTGAGGAGGGTGTTTCCAGAAAGGCTTAACAGAAGAGGGAAGAGCCATTCTGAATATAGGTGGCACTGTCCCATGAACTGGGTAAAAGAGAGAAGGCAAGCTGAGCAATCAGCTGCCTCACCCACCATGACTGTCCCACCAGGAGAGCCAAAACAAACCCTTTCTCCCTTAGGTTGCTTCTGTCAGCTATTTAGTCACAGCAAGCAAGGAGACAAGTATAATAGTTGATACAGCTCTCCTGCTGTCTAGTCACTAGGAGGTTTCATGTATGCTGAATTGAAACTCTCTTTGTTGTAATTTTTATGGGCTGTGAGAGGTACCCATTTGCTCCTGAGAACTTAAGGAAAAGTAAAATTAAGGAGCAAGAACATATGCCTGTATGTCTCTCAACTGTTGGTTCTGTTGGTGACAGCTATCCTAATGGATGGGCAGCTATCATATACAAGCTTTGTACTCACTGTAATGGCAAAGAACAGTGGCCATTAGTATGGACTGCACTTCCATTCAATGTCCTGTGAGTCTACACAGTCATGCCGTTACCCTTAGTAACAGCATCCAGACCACAGGACTATGCTACGCATGGCTTAGTGCAGGCATTAACTGTGTATAGTATTTAGAGAATCCAAGAGAAAGGGTCAGAGCTGGTGGGAATGGCCCTGGAGATGGTCCTCAGAGGGAATGAGGAAGTGTGTGTGTGTGTGTGTGTGTGTGTGTGTGTGTGTGTGTGGTTTTTGAGACAGAGCCTCTAGCCCAGACTGGCCTCAAACTCATTTTGTAGCTAAAGATGACATTGAACTTCTGGTCCTCCTGCCTCTGCCTCTCAAGAGCCAGAATTACAGGTATGTATCACCACTCCTGGTTTATCCAGTGCAGGGGGTTAGAACCCAGAGCTTCACACATGCTAGAAACCCATTCTTCTAACTGGACCACATCCTCACCCTGGAAACTGGTGTTTAGAGAGGTCACAACCTGTCCCAAGAATGTGTCCTTTTATCATTCTTTCTGAGCACAGTGTCTCCCGTGGTTGGTTGCTGCCTGATTGTGTCCTTGGTCCCTTAGCTGATGATGGCTTCCCTGTCATTCTAGGACTTCTGCCATGGCCAGGTGATGTGGCCTCCCCTGAGCGCCTTGCAGGTGAAGCTGGCTGAGCCTGGGCAGTCCTGCAAGCAAGTGTGCCAGGAGAACCAGCTCATCTGTGAGCCATCCTTCTTCCAGCACCTCAACAAGGAAAAGGACTTGCTGAAGTAAGTACCTCACAGGGGAGGAGGTCGAGGGGCCTGCAGCCTCTGCACTTCTGTCTTAGAGCTGCGTTCAGAGGTGCCTGGATTTGCTCTCCTGGCTGTGGGCTTCAGGGAAACAATGTGGGAAAAGGGGGAACAGGTTGTAGCCCAGAAAGAGCTCTTACACTCACATGTGTACACATATATGTGTGTATGATGCTGGGCTTGTGTGATATTTGTGTAGGATGTATGTGTACATGCATGTATTTATGTATGTCAGTGTGGGTTTGCACATACAATGACATGCATGTGGAGGTCAGAGTACAACTGTAGTCATTCCTCACTTCTGCCTTGTTTGAAGCATGTTCTCTGTTTTCTCCACTGCTGGCCCGTGGGCTTCCAGGGACTGTCCTCTGTCTGCCTTCCATCTCAAAGTAGGAGGGCTGGGGTTAGAGGAGTCTACTGCTACACCCAGCCTCACGTGGGTCTGGCCGGTTTCCTGTTACTTCAGTTTTCTCATCTGCAGAATAAGAACATTCTCAAGTGCACTAAATTACTTCTTGGCTGCAGCAAAGCACCTGACAGAGCATCTTAAAGAAGGTGTGGTCAGGCTCAGTTTGAAGGTGCAGTCGCCCGTGGCATCCAGAATGTGAGGTCGATGGTCACACTTCATTCACAGCCAGGAAGCAGAAAGACATGAAGGCTGGAATCTGCTTGCTTTTTCCTTTTGATTCCATCCAGAACCCCAGTCCATGGGGTATTATTTACATTTTATTTAGGCTGGGTCTTCCTTTCTCAACTTGCCCAACCCAGAAACTCTGCCGCATGCACCCACAGGTTTGTCTCCTAGGTGATGCAAATTGACAGCCAATATGAACTGTGACAATGAGATAGTGACATTGTTAATGTAGCCCATGTTGGCCTTGAACTCACTATAGCTGAGGATGACTAAGACCTCCTGACTCTACTGCCTACACACACACACACACACACACACACACACACACACACACACTTTAAATATTTAAACATAAATAATTTAATGTTTTAATTTAAACATTTAGTGCTAGAGACCCAGGAAGTGCCAGTGCCCACTCCAGCAAGCCTGGTGCATGTATTCATGTGACAACAGATTGATAATATGGCTACCTCTTAAAGTTAATTGCTATCTTGTAAAAAGTTAAGTTGAAAATGATTCCTAACTTACAGAGGTACAACTTATAATTTTTTTCTGCTGTATTACTGTGAAAGTCTAGTTACTCAGAAGACATTGTATTTCACATTTTAGATCTAGGTCCCAAAGAAAAAAGTGAATTTGGCCCCTGTGGACACCAGAAGATGCTCAGGTCAAGGGAGATGCACAATAGTTGAAAGTGGCCAAAAGCTGTGTGCCCACAGCCTGGTAGCTGTGAACTTGATGTAGCCATGAACAAGAGTGCTCTGTGGTGAGGCTGCAGTGTGAGCTGCTGGAGCACTGTCTGACCAGCCTTGCTACAGCAGATGCTGCCCTGCAGCCCACAAGGGACTCATTTGCCGTGTATTCACACATGCTCTCAAGTAACCAGCCGTGTCCAGATGACCCAGGAATATGGGTCATCATTTATTTCCTCCTCCTGGAGTCTAAGTGGTAGAGATTTCCTGCCTGCTAGATGGCAGGATGCCAGAGTTAAGTTAAGCCATGACCCACCTATAGGAGTAAACGGGGAACTGTAAGTCGTTATCCCAAGGCCATGGTCCACATGGTAACTTTTCACTTCTAACCGAGCTCTAAATGGCCCTTACTCTGTGTTGGCTGAATGAGGTACCCTCGGAAGGACCTGAGAGCAGCCTGTATTTGTCACTTGTGGTGTTGCTATGACAAAATGCCTGACAAAAGTAACTTAAGAAAGTTCAGCTCACAGTCTAAGGGGTGGGGAAAGGCATGGTGGCAGGAGCATGAGGCAGCTGCACACAAGGCATCACAGTCAGGAAGCAGAGAGGGGGATGCTGGTGCTCAGCTCACTTCCTCCTTTTTCTTCAGACTAGACTCCAGTCCAGAGAATAGTACCTCTTACCTTTAGGGTGGGTCCTGTACTTCAGTTAATCCAGTCTAGAAATTCCCTCACTGACTGGCAGATGTGTGCAGCATGTGTGCTGAATGGTCCCAGATCACGATAATGAGTATTAACTGTCACAAGCATTAACTCTAGCTAGCTGCCAACTCACAGTTAGACTCTGTGAGTGCTCCCGAAATACCGCTTTTTACATGTAGGATTATATATTCCCATCTTACAACAGAGAAGTGCAGTGACTTGTCTAGAATCACACAGCCCCTGTGAGACAAAGCTCAGACTTTAACAGAGGTCTGCCTGGCACACCCACCCAATACCATGTTCTTAGAACCTCAGGAGTGAATGGTTTCCACTGGCCCATGGGCCTTTCTTGTGCCCAGTGGGTAGGGTAGGTACTGGTTGGAGGGAGCTAGTGCAACCCACAAGAGAGAGAGGGATCTAAAGTTTTTGGAGATAAGAGGCCAGTACTATCTGGATTTGGTCAAACACACTATAATTCCAGCACTGAGGGGGCAGAAGCAGAAGAATCAGGAATTCAAGGCCATCTTTGCCAGGTTTGAAGCCAGCCTGGGCTCCATGAGACCCTGCCAAAAAAGGGGGGAGCTGAAGAGAGAGCTTCTATGGTCTCTTACTTGTGCTTGCCAGTCAAGCTCAAGGACCTGAGCTCGATCCCCCAGAACCCAAGTGACAAACATAAAAATGCAATCCCAGGGCTGGGAGACAGCGACAGGAGATCCTGAGTGCTCACTGGTCATCCTAGCCATATAGCCAGCTCCATGCCAGTGACAAACCCTATCTCAAAAGAACAGAGTAGACAGCTTTCCTGAGGATCAAGACTTCTGACCTTCACTCGTATGTGAGTGTGCCTGCAAGTGAACACTTCCTCTTCCTTCTCTTCTTCATCTTTCTCCTCTCCCCCTTTCTTCTTATTTTAAGACAGGGTCTCATGGGGGCCAGGCTAGCCTTGAACTCACTGTGTAGCTGATGATAACCATGAACTCCTGACCCTACTGCTTGCACTTCTCAAGTGCTGTGATAATTTGCATGAGCCACCATGCCAACCTCTTCTTTAGTGCTTGCTTCGCTTTGAGACTGTGTCTTCTCACTCTGTAGCAGAGGCTGGCTTAGAACTTATTATGTAGCCCAGCTTACTCCTGAACTCAACTGGAATTACAAGTGTGTGAGCCACCATTCCCAGCTAAATATTAAGTGTACATCTAAAAATATTTCAGTAATTGCTTTGTCCTGGTCTTGCTCCTCAGAAGTGGTCATTGCTTGCACATCAGTGTGTAGATCTGTGGTGTGTGTGTGTGTGTGTGTGTGTGTGTGTGTGTGTGTACATGTTTATGTAGATGCACTAATAATGCATAGGTATAAGAAGGCCAGAGATTAACATCAGCTGCCATTCCTCAGGCACCATCCACATTGCTTTTGGGGACTGGGTCTCCAGTTTTCCTGGGATTCACCAAGTGGGCTAGGCTGGCTAGTTATCGGGTCCCCAGGGATCTGCCTATCCTCAGTTCCCCAGCACTGGGATTACAAGTGCCACCCTACTGGCTCTTCATGTTTAACTTGGGTGCTAGGCATGCATGGTCCTCATGTTTGCATGGCAATACTGCACTGAATGGAACCATCTTCCCCAGCCCCCATTTTGGCTTTCACACAGCATGTTCCTCACACTGCTTGCTCTGCCCTATGACCTGCCTCCTCTGAGACAGCTCTCTGATGGGGTACAAATTTCTTCTCCATTGTTTTTCAGCAGCTGCACAGAGTCCCAAAGCACAGAGTACCCATTCCCTGCTTGAGTGTGCAGGCTGTTCTCTGTTTTTCTCCCCCAAAGAGCCCAGCCTCAGAGCCAGTCCCCTGAACACATGTTTGGCACCATGCTTTTCTTTGCAAAGCTGAGATCTCTAGATGTGGAGAACTTCAGAGTCAGACAGAGGATCTGAAGTAGGACAATTGGCTATGCTCCCACACCGCAGAGCAAATGATCCAGCAGTGTGGACAGGCCCTGTCCCAACACCACCACTCATGTACCTTTCTCTTCCTCTCAGGTACAGAGTGACCTGCCAAAGCTCAGAACTGTACAAGGACATCCTGGTGCCATCCTTCTACCCCAAGAGCAAGCACTGTGTGCTCCAAGGGGATCTCCTGCTCTTCAGTTGTGCCGGGGCCCACCCCACACACCAGAGGATCTGCCCCTGCCGGGACTTCATCAAGGGCCAAGTGGCCCTATGCAAAGACTGCCTATAGCATAGCTACTCTGAATTCATTCCGATGGGAAAGAGGTGGCTCCACTGGGCAGGGCCAGGGGGCCGAAGTCATTCAGGGACTCTGACCAGAGCCCAAACTCTTTGGTCCAGGGCTTGGATTTGGTACTGCTCCAGCTGCAGCCAGCATATCCCAGGAGTTTACACCAAAACCACAAGAGAACAGAGGTCAGACCAGGGGCCTGGCTTCTCCCTGGTGCAACGAATGTCCTCTCTGTCCTGGAAAGTGTCCAGGCAGCTGCTCCTCCGGGTTTTTTTGTTTTTTTGTTTTTTTAAAGAAAGGATAAGAGTTGGAGACTCATTCAACTGAAAACAAAACAGGAAGAGGAATTGAGCTGATTGGAAAGAACTTTGGGGACATTCCTAAACCCATTAATTTATTTATTTGGGAGAATGGGGGTGGGGGTGGGAGGGAGAAAAGGGGTTGAACGGTTTCCTTTTTATCCCCCACCTTTAATCGCCCACCTTCAGGATCTCCTTGTTCTGCTAGCATCAAATAGGATGCAGATGGGCTGGTGGCTTCCTTGAGGGCAGCTGTGGGAGCCTGGCTCCTGGTGGCAGGTGGCAGGACAGAAAAAAAAAAATTGTAAAAGTAGGGATGTGGCTCAGTTTGCAGAATGCTTGCTTAGCATACAGGGAGCCCTGGGTTCCATCCCTAGCAGCACATAAAACCAGGTGAACATCTTAATCACAGGTAAGAAGTAGAGGCAGGAGGATCAAACATTCATGGACATTCCTTGGCTACATAGCAAAGTCAAGGCCAGCCTGGGCTACAAGAGACCCTGTCTCAGAAAATAGAAAAAAAAAAATTCTTTGATAACACGGCCAGCCACTGTCAAAGGATTGTCATAGAGCTGAGGAACCTGTGTGTTGCTTGGCAGGTAGCAGCTAAAAGGCAATAACCTTGGTGGGGACATGCCTGCGTGTCCTGAGGGCCCTGCCAAGTGCCAAAGACAGGCTGGGTTGTGGATGAGAGAGGCTGCTTTCCTGTGTGTCCCCTTCCCACCCACCTATACAGCTTGGCTCTAATTTCTGGTTAGAATTCCTTTGTCAAAGAAACACAGGACTGTGTAATTCTTATTTGCTGCTGTGGTGAACTGGCCCTCCCTCACTGTAAGGAAAGTAAAAACTGAAGACTCCAAGAGCTGCCATTAAACAGGGGTGGGGGGTAGGGGTTCTCTAGCTCAAAATGGCTAAGATTTGGAAAAGAATGATGTCCTAGAGTTAGTATCTCGAGGGGGGATTCGTGCTGTGTCCCCATTGATGTCTGATATTGCTGAATTCCAGGGAACGGGGCTCCCTATCTCTATGAATTTGATGGTTTCTGGGGAGGTAAGGACAGCTCAGAATGAAGGCTAGGTATTGTCCTGGCTGTTCCCCAGTGGGTGTGGCTTACAGAGGGTGGAAGACTGGAGCTGGGTTTTACTTGAAGCACTATTCTTGGGAGTTTGAATAGCTCTGTAGAAGACCTGGCAGCAGGCTGGCCTCATCAAATATGCTGGAATCCCTACTTCTCACAACCTGGGGCCCTTTTGTGAGTCCCTCCCTGCTGAAGTATTGCTTCTGTCTCTGTACATTTGTGAGTTTCTAGACACACCTCCCATACTTCTCTCCATGCTAGTGAATGAACTGACCCTTTTCTACCTCTTGCATTGTCCACCCAGCCCAACTGGTAAAGTAGACTTCCTGGCCTGCTGGTGCTGCCCAGCACCTCCCTGTGGCCAGGTGGAGCTTCTGCCTTGCTGAAAAGCAGAGCAAGGCCCATGACTGGCTGGGCCCTCCAGAAGCAACAGAAAGGAAGATTCAGCTTTGTGGCGACCAAGAGGTGGGGCTTGTAGGTCTGGGAAATCTGATCTGCTTGCCTCTTAGTTTCTACCTGGGTGCATACATCACTCCAATTACACCTCCGGCCTTTTTTCCCATTAGGCCCTAAGATAGGCAGCTCAAAGGGCTGAGCTTCTGGTCCTAGAGAATGAAGTGAAATGGGGAGGTGCTGCTGGAGGCTGGGGGGCAATGGCAAGGGGATCCTATCCTAAGCACTGACAGGGGTCCTTCAAGGCCTGGCTGGAATCATCTCCACCCTGGTTGAGCCACCAGGCAGGTGAAAGTTAAAAGGCCTAGCTTAGAAGTGTGTTTATAAAGTCTTACAAAGGTGGTTTCCTGCAGCAGGGTGGGAGAAAACTGGCAGACTTACTGTGAAGATGGACTTTTCCCTGCACCCCAGAATTGTGGCACTCTGCCAGTTTTCCAGACCTGAAATTTCTAGGCATGTCCACCAGGAGTCCAAGGAGCTATGAGTGACAGTGCTGATGTTCCACCAGCAGGGGGTGCCCAAAGCTGAAATGATCCCCACCTGCAGAAGCTGCCTGGCCCTGAGCTCAGTGTCTCTCCATCTTCCGATTACTCCTCTCCAGCTCAAGACCCGAGTCACACAACCCAAAAGAGTTCTTTCTCCCATGTAATAAATTCCCCTCTGGTTTTAGACAGAAGCAAGCCTCACTTCCCCTGGTGGGCTCCTGCTCTTGAGGCTAACCAACTCCCCTCTAGTGGTTAAGGGCATTATGAACAGGTGGGTGGTCCCCATAATATACAACAGCTCCCAGGCCTCCTCAGAGTTAGCAAGGTGTGGCCAAGTGACCCTCTGGGGAAACTGATGGTGAGGGTGGGGGACATTCTGCCTGTCAGGTGTGGAAATCAGCAAGGAAGGAACCCACAGCCTTGGCTAGAAGCCCATCCATTGACGATCTTGTAGAAACCTGGGCCTGTGTGTAATTGAACTTTCCACCGGGAGAGAAACTGAAATCAGGTCTTGTGTTTACCTGCACTGTAATCAGATCTCGGCTGGCCTTTGGAGTTAGTTTCCCCTTTATGGTGTTAGGCTCTTAAAGCAGGGGGAGCCCTTTACATAACCTATTAAGAGAGAGAATGCATTTCTTCAGAAGGTGAAGGCCTTGTCAGAGCAAGAACTCCTGAGAGGGGCAGTGCCTCATTGGATCCCAGGCCACACTTTGTGCATGTGGTCTGATTTCGTGTACAAGTGGAAACGCTTTGACTGTTTCAGTTTTGTTTTGTCTCTGAGGTGGATCGTTCGCTTTAGGTGTCTGGTGAGTGTTTGGAAATATTTGTCTATTTCTTTGGTGGCACATGTCTTCCTGACATGTCTTTTCATTCCTCTCTGGGGTTGGATTTTGAAGGCTGGGTGCTGTTGAAGGCTGATAGAAGATTGCTCCAGCCTGGAACAACTATGTGTGTCCCCAGTATGTGTACCCGCACATGGCTATTTATGTTCCCAGTGTATGTGTGCCCCTAAGACTACATTTAGTGTGTGTGTATATGTGTGTATATGTTCCTGGCGTGTGGCGTATGTACATGTACCCCCAGAATAGGGCTGAAGGTGCCAAGAATCCTTTAGCTGGCATCCCTAGGACCAGACCCTATCTCTTGACTCTTATGATGACCAACATAGTGAAGGGCCTCATTCCCCAGTTGCCCTGGCCCTGGCTGACATGTTGCTAAGGCAGAAAACCAGCCTTGAGGCCATCTGTGTAGAAGCAGTAGCCTCCAGACACTTCAGCTAGTTAGCATGATAGAGAGGAGCGATGTCCACTTACTGCTTTCTCTTCCTTAGTGAATGAATGTGGTGTTGGCTGCAGTACTGCTCGCTGGTAATAACCTATCAGTGAGTTGGGTCACACTGAACCTATGTGCTATGTGCTGTTTATAGATGAATGTGTGTGCTTTGACTCAGACCAGGGTGGTTCACCTAGATTGTGTGTAATTAGGCACCTCCAGCCTCTCCCCAACTTCTTGATGGAAAAGGAAAAGCCAAGTGTTTTGTTAACGACAGGCTCTGCTGTGTGTGTTACTTGCTATTCCAAGCCTGGACTGGTTTATTTATTTAAAACTATTTTAATTTCTCTATTGGCTTTATTCTTATCCCATCTGTCCCTGTGTCGCTGCAGAGTATGTCTTTGTTAGAGTAGACGGATGGCAGAAATAGGTTTATAGTCATTCAGGAAGCTCGCAGCTTGGAGCCGAGGAGGAGCTCCTTTCATTCTTGTTGCCTTCAACAGAAAGTGCAAAGTCAAGCTTTTTCAGTTTGGATTTTGTTTTTGACATTTAGCAAAAGACCAAATTAGCTGTATAGCCTTGGAAACAGAAAATAAGAATTGCTCTAGTTCTCTTAGCATTTAGGGTTCTGTGGGGTCCCATGTTTAGCACAGCGCCCGGCTCGTAGAAAGCCTGGCATATGTTCAATATTGATATTAGTAGTAAATCATGAACCTTGAGAAATAAAGAGCTGCGCTCACCCCCATCTGTTGATTCAAACATGATGGTCACATAGAAAATCTTGTTGAGTAGATCAGATGGTATAGGAATTAATTGTTCCAAATGTGTAAGCTCTGTGCCTACCCTGCTCGCTGGAATTCTAGTGTCTTCTTGAATATGCTGATTGGAAAATATGCCAGTCTTCAGCACTCCGTGAAACAAAACTGAAAGAATTTAAGTGAAGTTGAACCCACCAGTATGTTCTGGAACATTCCAGGGGTTTCTTTGGGGAACTTTTTGAGCTCAAAATTAAAAGTTCTCTCACAAGTTGCACTCCTTGAATTAGAGTTTAATTTTTATTCCTCTATAATTCAGTAATAGAATCTTCAATTTGTTTAAGGGAAAGAGTGAATAACTGAATTTATAGTTCCCAGAAACCCTTTGCTGCCCCCTGCTGGACAGGGTGGCTCCTGGCAGATTGGTTACCTCTGCCACATTCCCATCCTAACCAAGATTATTATTTAAGGACCTGGTCCTTAAAAAAAAAAAAAAGAAAGAAAGAAAGAAAGAAAGAAAGAAAGAAAGAAAGAAAGAAAGAAAGGAAAAAAGAAAGAAAGAAAGGAAAAAAGAAAGAAAGAAAGAGAAAGGAAGAAAGAAAGAAAGAAAGAAAGAAAGAAAGAAAGAAAGAAAGAAAGAAAGAAAGAAAGGAAAAAGAAAAAAATCCACCACCACCCCCAAAGGAGCCACATGAGGCCCTACGACGGCAGGGATTTTGACTTCTTTCAAAACTGGACCCAGAGGTCACTTGAATACCAGTTTGCTGTTTATGTTTTGCCAATTTAACCTCTTCGCTGGTAGAACATCTCTGGGTGAACTGCAGATGTGGAACTGGGAGGAAAACGTCCTGGAATCCAGTGTGCTTTTCCAACTCCTCTCTAAGCTGGTTGACGATTTTACCGTTTAAAGGGGTGAAGTGGTTGAATTTATCTTTTCAGAGCTCCATTCTGCCCAGATTTTGCCACTTTAGGCTGTCCTCTTCCCACTCCTGACCGTCACTCTCCACCCCCGCCCCCGCAGCTGGGACGCATATGCTGGTGTGGCGGATAGTTTCCTGTGGAAGCCAGCATGGGTAGTGGGTAGGTGGGTACACAGGGAGCATTGCTGGGTGGCAACCAGGAGCATGAGCACAGTGCAGCAGCCCATGGAAGCTGCAACAGCAGACATGGGAAGCACCTTTTTTTTTTTTTTTTTTTTTTTTTTGGCCTTGAGCCCAGCCCAAGTATTAAACAAAATAATGTAATCACAATGCCAAAGGACACGGTGACGTCCCTTCCACTGTAGTTGCTGTCACCTTGATGTTAAGCTCATGGCCATTCACGTCTGTGTCTTGAAATGGATCCTGGTGTACTTGTTTCCTACTGTCACTTCTGGGGCTAAGTCACAGGATCCTGCAAATGAGGTGTCCGCTGTCCCCAATTTACTGTACCAGGCAAAAAGAACACTGCTTTGTTTTCCTGTGTTGTAGAGAAACTAGGGAGAACTTTATTTTTCAATAAACTTTTCTTGTGCGACAGGTGGTAGTGATTTGGGGGTGGGTCCTAAAGCTACATTTCATGGTGCCAACACACTGTCAAAGTTATGTTCAAGCAGCATCTGGGCGGGTACTGGGGAATAAGATAGCTGAGTTTATAACAGACAGTTGAGTTCATAGAGTGCTTGCTATGCAAGTGTGAGAGCCAGGCCCCAACCCTCATCCGCTTTTTAAAATGGCAGATGTGATGGCACATGCTTGAAACCCCAGTTCTAGGGAGGAGCCAACATGGTTGGCATTCGTAGAAAACTTGTGACTCAGGCCGGGCGTTGGTGGTGCACGCCTTTAATTTCAGCACTCGGGAGGCAGAGGCAGGTGGATCTCTGTGAGTTCGAGACCAGCCTGGTCTCCAAAGCTACACAAAGAAACCCTGTCTCTAAAAACCAAAAAAAGAAAAAAGAAAGGAAGGAAGGAAGAAAGAAAGAAAGAAAGAAAGAAAGAAAGAAAGAAAGAAAGAAAGACAGGAAAAGAAAACCTGTGACTCAGAGCTGGGGAAATGAATGGCTGAATGGGAAGGTGCTTGCCAGGCATGCACAAGGACCAAAGTTTGATCCCCAGAACCTATGTAAAAAGCCAGCTCTGGAGATGTGAAAACAGGTATAACCCCAGGGCTCACTACTCAGCCGTCTCAGCCAAATCAGCATATTCCAGGCTAGAGACACCACCACATAGAACAAGGTGGACAGCATCCTGAGAAGCTACAGGTGAAATTGACTTCTAGCCTCCACATGCAAGCATGTACACACATACACACACACACACACACACACACACACACACACACACTGGGGGGAGGGCTTTACCACTATGTACTCTTTCTTCCCTACATGCACCTCAATGCTAAATGGGAAGTATTCTTTCCATCTTCCATTCTCACTGTAAAGAGCTGAATTGCAAAATGAACTGCTGGAACTGTTTCCTCAGGACTGGCTCTGGCTGCACAGTGCTCTTTACCTGAGTGGGAGGTAAAAGACAGAGCACCTACATTCACCTGAAAGAGAGGAAGCAGCCCTGAGCCAAGGACCTGTGGGCCATAAAAGTTGCCCAGGGATCTCAGTCAGCAGACGACAGCTGGCTAGGAAAGCACAATGCCCGGGATTTGAGTCCCAACACCATATAAACTGACACAGTGGTGCACACCTGTAATCCCAACACCCAGGAAATGGAGGCAAGAGGATCGGGGTTCTCAAGGTACCTCTCTGAAATTAGGCACCCTCCTGGGTAATTCTCACAAGACACTGTGAAATTCAGAATCATATGAGACTCAACTCCCAACTCCAAGCCTGTTGAATACAAGAAGGAAGAGTGATGGAGGAACACACACACACACACACACACACACACACACACACACACACACACACACAGAGAGAGAGAGAGAGAGAGAGAGAGAGAGAGAGAGAGAGTAAACAGTGCTTCTGATCTTGGGACTTTCTGGATTTTAGAACTTTTGTCACCCTGAGTTAGCTTTAAGATGAGACCCAAAACTGAACAGGAAACTCAGTTATACTTCCTATGTGCTCCATACTCATGGTCTAAAGATCATTTCATACCTTAATTTTTAGTGGGCCTGTGTTTTCACTACAACTTGTCCCACAAGCCCAAGCGTGTACTTTTTATTGGTGCTTCCATGTTGCTGGACATTTCTTGAGCATTTGGGATTTCAGATTTGGGGATTCTGGGTGCTCAGCATGTGCTTTCCCTTTGGCAGCACCAAGTGAAATACGCCATCAAAGCCTGCATGAAGCCTGGAGGCCTGCAATCCCTCTGCCCTTTCGGTATCTGCCTCCAGGGGTCTCTGGCTGAACCCTGTAACTGTGTGGTCAGTTGGGGTGAGGTTGCCATCCCCTCTAGAAACTACAGACCCCACATCAAGACAGACCAAGATGTTGCTGTCACTGTCACCAGGTTCCAGCAACCCCTGCCTTGTCTACCTTCACCCACAACAGAAAACCTACCTGTCAGAGATGGTGAAATGACTCAAAGGGGAAAGCACTTGCTGTGTGAATATGAGGACTTGACTACAGATCCAGACCACCCACGTAAGAGCCACCTATGGTAACATGCACCTGTATCTCCAGGACTGGGAAGGCAACATAGGTTCCTGGGACTCACAGTCTAGTCATTCTAGCTGAATCAGCAAGCTCTGGGTTTGGTGAGAGAGAGAGAGACTATCCTAAAGAAAAAATATATAAATAAGAAGATGAGCTGGCAAGATCTTTTAGCGGGCAGTAGAAGCTTACACAGAGGTCTGGTAATCAATCCCAGGATCCCACGAAGTGGCAGGAGAGAACCAACTCCTGAAAGCAGGCCTGTGACCACATTTGTGCCATGGCATGAGTGTGCTTTTGTGTATGCATACACAACCGAAATTCAATTAATGAATTTTTTAAAAGAGGTGAAGACATGATAGAGAGAGATACCCAAAGTCAACCTTGTCCTCCACATGTGAACACACAGAGGAAGGAGAGCACCTGTACACACACACACACACACACACACACACACACACACACACCAGAGAGAGAAAGCGAGCACTCATACACACACCACCAGAGAGAGAGAGAGCACCCATACACACACACACACACATACACACACACACACACACACACACACCAGAGAGGGAACCCATACACACACACAAACACACACACACACACACACACACACACACACACACACACACACACACACACACACACACACACCAGAGAGAGAACACATACACACACATACACACACCACTGAGAGATCACCCATATACACACACACTGGAGATAGAACCCATACACACACACACACACACACACACACACACACACACACACCACAGAGAGAGAGCACCCATACACACACACTCACACACACACCAGAGAGTGAGAGAGAGAAAGACAGAGAGAGAGAGAGAGAGAGAGAGAGAGCCTGTCCACAATGGATGCTCCCTACATGTTGACACACACACTAACAGCTCCCACATACAACCTCCTTATACCATACAAATGGTCAAGGTATTATTGGCCTGACACAGCTGCTCATGTGGGCAGTTCTGTGAGAGCTACAGAAATGGTGGAATGGGGGACATGTCTACAGCACTTACACCCAATGTTGCATAAGCTGAGGACATCTTAATCCTCTGGAGGAGTGACCGACCTATGTCTTACACCATGACCACTTAGCACAACATATAGAGATATGCAGATGCAGGTAATGATTATAATTATTTATTACAAATAAATGTATAGAGTTTCACATCTCTCAAAAATGGTTCCTGGGTTCTCATGGATGTGGAAGAAAGGGCTTTGTGCTTACATAGCCTGTTCATGCAAAGCTCATAGGTCACTAAACACTTTAAAAAATAGAATGGTCTCCTTCTGAACAAATCGATTTAGTGTCGCGATTAGTAAAAGTGTATGAAACGGGTTGATAGACGTTAGGAGGGATTACTGATGGAATCCGCTAGGAGAGAGGAGTGTGACTCTGGAGGTGGCTTTGACCATGTGTGTCGGGAGGAGGCAACCCGGTCAGTTACTATCTGGTTTTGGCTGACAGTGAGCGCCACAGGTGGCTTCCTGTCAAGCAGAGACCCTAGCCTGCTTTCAAGAACTGTTTGACTCCAGGAAATAGAAAATGTCACTTCCGGCTCAAGACTGGGAAGCGTGGCAGCCCCTCCCATGGGCAACACCGTCCTAATGTGTTTGATGGTGGGCAACGGGGTGAGGATGTAGGGCAGGTCCAGCCTCCAGGCAGACCTCATCCCATGATGACAGACTCTATGAACGAAAACTTCCCAAAATGAAACTGGATGTGCAGTTAAATATTGGCACCATCTGCCTTCGTGGAAACCTCTTATCGCCATGGTGACGCTCTGCGCTGGGGCAGTCCCTGCAGCCCCTTCAGCCACCTTCACTCAAACATTTCATAGTGACGCGTCTGTCTCACTCTGGGCACCATGTCGACGAGGAGCCTGTAGAAATGAAGACAGACAGGGTCACCTCAATGCCAGGACAGCTTGGGAAAACTGAGGCTATTTGTGTATGTGTGTCTGTGTGTACTTCCTGTGTGTTCAGGTATATGGGGTGGTGGGTACACTTGTGTGTGGGAACCTGTGGAAGCCAGATAACCTTGCCTATTTCTTTCTTGGGTGTTGCCCACCTCTCATTCTTCCCTGGAAGAACCACCAAAATAGGCTAGGCAGGGTGGCTGGCTAGCAAGGTCTTCCTGTCTGGAATTATATCCATGCACCACCACAGCCGGCTTTCTTTTTTTTAATGTGGGTTACAGGGATCAAATCCAAATAACTGTGCTTCCCCACGTGAGCTACCCCTGAGTCCTAGCTGTGACTAATTCTGCCCACATACCATACCATTGTCCCTTTAAAGGCATACAGCTCAGGGGTTTCCTGTGTATACGTGAAGCTGTGTGTTCACCCACACCGGCTTAATTCTGCATTTTTATCATCCTCTATGCACACTAATAGTCACACCTCTTTGCAGACAAGTGTATCTATTCTGGAAATTTCATATAAAAAAAAGTATATGGCCTTTTGAATATGATCACATTCATTTGGAACGTTAGAAGTTCACCCACATTGTAAGGTGTACCGACCCTCCATTCATTTTGATGCCTGAATAATAGTCCACTGGATAGACATACCATATCTATCCCTTTATCAGCCAATGGGGGATTTCTAGTTGTATGTATTATAAACAGAGCTGCTGTGGGCATTCATAGAGGAGTTTTGACATTTATGTTTGTGTTCATTTTTTTTTTTTTTAGTTATATGCCCCATGAGGGAAATCACTGGGCCAAATGGTAACTGTGTGCTCAACAGTTTGAGGATCTGCTGAGTCCTTTTCCAAAGCAGTACCACTGTGTGCATTCCCAGCAGCCAGGTCTGAGGTTCACTGTCCTTGCCAACACTTGTAACTGTCTCTGAGTTTGAGGACAATACCCTAGTGGAAGCCATTAACTTTTAAAAATATAACACCTGACAGGAATAATTCTAAGAACAAGGCCAGCCTAGAGGCCATATCCAGGGACTGGCATTAGGCTATTTCTTCAGTAAGTGGACCCCATGCTAAGATGGCTTTGCCTCCCTCCAAGGTGGCCATTTACTTAGAGTAGACCCATTTTAATTTTTTTTTACATTTGTGTGTGTGTGTGTGTGTGTGTGTGTGTGTGTGTGTGCGCGTGTGCGTGAGTGTGTGTGTGTGTGTGTTTGCACACACATCATGGAGCAACTGTGGAGGTCAGTTCTCTCCTGCCTTCAACCATGTGGGTCCTGAGGATAGAACCCAGGTCATAGGGCTTGGTTGTAAGCACCTTTATCCACTGAGCCATCCATCTCACCAGGCCCAGCAGTGGTCCCTTGTAAAACTTTGCTAAGCCTAGGTCTGCCTTTGCTTGGCCTCCTCAGTCCCAGCAGTACACATGGGCATCAGGTGACACTCACCTGGGAATCAGAAAAACCCTATTATAGAATTCTGAAAATGAAGACAGGAGGATCAGAGGTTCAAAGTCATCCTTGGCTACATAGTGAGCTTGAGGCCAGCCTGGGCTACCTGGCATCCTGTCTTAACAACAACAATAATAGTAACAATAATAATAACTTTAAACCCATAGTATAGAGGAAGAAAGGGGGCCATTTAGTGGATAAAAAGAACAAGGAAGAAGAAAATGTGTGCCTTATCTTTTCCCAGAGTCCCTGCTTCACTTTTAGAAGGCCATCCCAAAAGGAAGGCTGTACCCCACACAGGACTTTTCCAATCTCTTGAAAAGGTAAGCTCTGTGCAGCACTGTCCTCTGAGCATGACATCCAGCACCTTCTTAGTCAAGGCAGCTACAGTGACCCACAGGCGACCCTCGAAAGCTGGCCTGTTGACATTCCCTCAGAGAAGGACAGGGAAGGGATGGGTCATCAGACTCTCACCCGAGATCCCAACCACACACACTACCCTGCCTCACACCTCACACATATAATTCTGCCTCAGTTGCTTCCATGGTCTCTGTGTGTGTGTGTGTGTGCTAGAGTACATAGAATGTGAAGGTTACCTACCGGCTATTCCATATGTGCAGCTATGAGGAAGTCATCTCTACACTGGGGTAAGTAAGATGTTTTGATGGTCACCCACTGTGCTGGTTTGTTGTGTTTTTGCTTTTGTTTGCCAACTTGACACAAGCTAGGGTCATCTGTGAAGAGGGAGACTGATTAAGAAAATTCCTCCCTTAGGTTGATCTGTGGGTAAGTGTGTCAGGGTATTTTCTAGATTAATGATTAATATGGGATGGCCCAGTCCATTGTAGGCATGCCATCCATCCTAGGTAGGTTGTCTTGGGTTCTATAAGAAGGCAGGCCGAGCAAGCCATGAGGAGCAAGCCAGTAAGCAGCACCCCTCCATAGCCTCTGCTTCAGATCCTGCCTCCAGGTTTCTGTTTGAGTCCCTGTCCTGACTGCTCTCACTGATGGACTGTGACACAGAAGTGTACGATTAAATTAACACTTTGCTCCCCAAGTTGCTTTTGGTCATGGTGTTTACCACAGCAACAGAAAGTCAACTAGAAAACCTACATGCCTATAAGCAGCTCCTCATCCAGGCTCCTGTAAATAAGCCTGATAACATGCACCAAACAACACGTGGGTGGGACCATTACTTTTGTCCATCTTTGTTGCCCTATTTGGGGAGAAGAGATGTTCGTTCACATTTTCCCAGGAAAAGCAAATACATCACTCATGTTCCTGAGACATAAGGGAATAAGACATGAGATCCTTCTTTCATTTCTTGGCTGGAGGAAGGGGTAGAAGGAAGAAGGGGTTTCATGGCATTCCTGGCCCCTGGGTGATCAGAGATAAAAACAGAGCCGTACTTGACCCCATAGGCAAAGATGGTGAGGCCGATCAGGACACCGATGCTGCCGTCCAGGTACCAGACTCTTGCATTGTGTTTGAACACTTCTGCACTCAGAAGGATGGAGAAACCCATCACTCCCCCAACAAGGGAGTTGAACCCTGCAAAAGAAGAGAGATCGTGCACTTATCTAAGGTGGACATTTCAGTCTATACTATCAAGTCTATAGACTACAGTTGCACATAACAGGCTTCATTCTATAGAAGGAATCTGTACATACATACTGCTAATGGTTTGTTGGTTCTGAGTTAACCTTCAATCTAGATGCCATCCAAACAGCTGGCTCAGAAAGATTTCAAGGCTCAATGGTCTTCACGTGGAAGAACCCTTACACACTACCCAGAGAGGGGGAAAATGATAAAGGAAAAACAGAGCCCGAGGGGCAAGACTAAATGGAATGCCTGGCTGCCTCTGCTTCCTCTCTCTGTACAGTTTGCCTGCTGGAGAGGAGCTGGAAAGCACATCTCTAGGCTGTGAATCACTGTCTTCTCAGACTGCAGGTTGTCTGAATAAAACAGTTTAGAGAGTTATTTCCACGGGCCAGGGAGGTGGCTCTGATGGTGTGTATCCCCTTCATCAATGCCCAGCCAGACACAGTGGTATCGGTCCAGGAGTCTGTGATGTCAGCATTCCTGAAGCAAGATGGAGACAGCTAACGAATCCTGGAAGCTCGCTGGCCAGTGGCAAACAAGAGACACTGTTCCAAACAAGGTGAGAGGTCAGGACCAACACCTAATATTGTCCTCTGACTTCTGTAAGCATGCCCCGGCACACACAAGCATTCACACATGCGGAAGTGTGTGTGTGTGTGTGTGTGTGTAAGATTTTAAAAACTATAAATCAGAAAAACACTTATATTTCTAGTCACAACCAAACTCTACACACACACACACACACACACACACACACGCTCCAGTGTCAACCACTCCACCTCCCCCATGGGGCCCTTAAAGTTACCAGAAGCCCTCCTTGTTTGGGCATTCCCTTCCAGCAGGAGACTCGGTGGCCACATGCACCCTCTCTGTGCACTTCCCCACCTATCTCCTCACAGCTCTTTCCTCCTTAGCATGATATAGCTGCCATTTTTATTTTACCATCTTCCACTAGAAAACTAAGCTGAGGGACAGAAGTTTTATCCCTTTCTTTGCTGTCTCCCATGTCCCAGAACAGGGTACTGATGTTGTTGCAGTAATTAGTAAATGGCCATAAGAAGCGGGAGAGGAAAGAAGGGTGTGAGGCGTGACCTTAGCTATCACCCCACCCCCACTCCGGGGTGGGGCACACATTGCCGCCCCGCTCACAAAAGGTGAGGAGCAGAAGTTCCCCAGGCAGCCACTAGATGTCGACATAGTTCCACTGAGCCAGCCCTCGCCAGTCAGCACCACGGACAGCTGTCCAAAGCCACCGGGATGAGGAGAAGCCTTAAGTAACTCCTTAGCTTAAGGCTTCCAGGAAGTGACCTCTGTTTGTAATGACAGCCTGGTTCTTAGTGGCTTCTCTTTCAGAAACTCGAGAACTGGGGACTGATTCCAGGCTGCCCCTACCGTGTGTGTGTGTGTGTGTGTGTGTGTGTGTGTGTGTGTGTGTGTGTGTGTGTGTATGTGTATGTAAAGAGGTAGTTACCCTCAGTGGTCATTCTCATATCACATTCTATATATTTTTTGATTCAATCACTGAACCTGAAGCTAGCTAGGCTGCCTAGCTTGCCTCTGCCCCTGCTCTCTCTCACATACACCAATCTCTGGCAGTCACTCACCACACCCAGTTTTGTGCCCTCACTTCTAACTTTGGAGATGTTCTATAGAAAAAACCCTGTGGCTGGCTTGACAGCACAGAATAGCTGGGGCCATGTTGACTGGAGATACCACCAGCCTGACTTTAGTGACTAACCTGGAATCTGTGTAATTAATCAATCTGTGTAATCATTAATTCTATGCAGAACAGTCTGATAGGGATTTTCATAGAGGTTCTGGGTATTTCCAACTTGGAAGGGAATGAGACATCTGCCCCCTCTTATCAGAGGGGGCCCTAATACCTCCAGACTGCCAGCCCTTACTCCACACTGTTCCAGGATGATCTCTCACATAGCTGTCTTACTTTTATCACTCATTTGTGCTCAGGGCTATTTTACTCTTGCAGCTCAGGCTGGCCTCATACTCACCAAAAATAACCTGGAACTGCTCATCCTTCTCCCAAGTGCTGGGATTACAGTTTACAACCACCACACCCTGTTTATTAAGTACTGGGAATGGAACCCAGTACATATTTTCACTGGTTTAGGCAAGCACTCTACCACACAGCTACATTCCTGGCTCCACCATCCATGAGCTGCTGCCCTCTTTCCCTGAAGACATGCAGGACCCGGCCAGCTGAGCCAGTGTTGCCTAACTCCCATGGGGCTCCAGTCCAGGATGCATCAACACCATGGGAACAGGTCCAGGAGCTGTCCAGTCTATAGAATAAGGTTTCTAGAATGTTGCTTTTGGTCTCTATTGGGAGAGAAGGTTCTTGGTTCTGCCTCAACTAAAGGAACAGCCACAGGGTATGCATCAAAATGAGGCAAGACAGAAATGCAGGGAAAATTTGGCTGGGGGGGTAGGCATGAGAAAAAAGAAAAACCTCTCCCCCCAGGCATCTGGCTAAGGCCTCACACCAGCAGAGACCAGGATCTCCTGGACATTAACAGCTGCTTAAGGCTTCTCTGCCTTCTTAGCCATAAGTCTAAAATTTTATGGGACTCTCATCAGAAATCCCATTTTTAGAGAAAAGACATGTACTGAACCCCTTGTGTCACCTCATGGTTCCTAGTTTCACCTTAACAAGATATAGTCCCATCCGAAGTATCTCCAGAGAGACGGAAAAGATCGAGAAAAACGGGGAGGGAGCCTAGCAACCTTGGAGATGGAATTTGAGATGAGACACCAGAGGGTCTATATAGCTAATGCTCTGATAACTAATTACTTACAGTCCCTTGAGGAGGCCACACCCACCCTGGGGTACATCTTACTTCTGGTATTCTTCCCTGAAAAGCACCCCTCATGTGGCTGGGTCTACTGTTTTCTGAGCATCTCCATGGAAGCCTGTGTTAAATATCTTTAATAAGTCCAGCAACTCTGATTTACTGCACCAGCTAGTTCTGAAATTCTTTTCAGTGTCAAAGCCAGCAATTCCAAGTGGCCAGAATCAAAGTCCCTAAAAGTTCAAGGTAACTCCTCAGGTTACTGAGGGTGGCAGAATGGAGTTGTATATTTGTCTTCTCATCACTGACAAATGGACCCCCACAATAAGGATAACCAGGGCTCCCCAACCCTGACCCCACCCTCCTTCCAAAGGGAGAGGAAAGGGTTGAAGGTAGCTCACGAAGTCTGAAAATGAAAAACTGGAGATCAGATTCTAGACGGCGCAATGAGGAGCTGGCTATAGTTACTATAGCTCCTTCTGCCTGAGACACCCACTCCTGGGAGAGAGGGCCTACTTCCTTATTCATGGTGAGTCATCCTCTCTAGCCATCTCTTGTGGTCAACTCCTGGACTCCCCAGAACTCTCTCCACACTGCAGTGGCCACCTCCCTCCCTTCTGTTCCCTACGCAAGACACCCAGAGGGCCCTTCCGAACACATTAGTCACATCTCCCAACTATTTAAATATTTGATAAAATAGCCACTGTTCTATCCTTGACCCCCCCCCCATTCCCTGGGATCTGTTCCCGCCAACTTCCAGAGCCCCTCTCCTCTGGCAGGAACCCCTTTTCCTGGAGCAAGCCAGTCGGCATTCATCTGCTGGAGAACAAACACTCACTCCTCCTACTGACTTTTCCTTGGAGTTTCCCCTGCCAGTTTGAACATGATGGACACGTTTGCTTAGGTGTGAATGGTTGTGTGGGTAGAAAACCAAACTCAGGGGGAGCATGGCTTAGTAAATGAGGGCTTGAGTTCTATTCCCCAGAATCCATGTATAACAAAACAAAACAAAACAAAAAGCCAGGCATGTGGCATGCACGGGTTAGCCCAGCTCTGGCAAGGGAGAGATAGCTGGATTCCTGGGGCGCACTAGCCAGCCAGTCTAGTCTACTCACAAACCAAGGAGGACAGTGACTAAGGAACAATGACCATGACTGCCCTCTGGCCTCTACACGCATGTGAAACACAGCAGGATACTAAGTACAGTAGTGAAAAGTTGGGAGTTCAGTGAAGCCTAAGCACAGATCTGAGTATGGAATGGCTCTGAGGTTAAGGGGAAACCACTCACACTGTGCAAGGCCCGTCAGTCCAGCAAGATGAGGCCATGCTCTATGATGGTGTTGTCAACTTGACACAGTCTAGCATCAAGGGGCAAGAGAGTCTCAATTAGTGGTTGTCTGGATTGGGTTAGCCCGTGAGAGTTTGTGGAGAATTGTGTCTGTTGACTTAATTATTGTGGGAATAATGCCTGAAGGGGGTGGCACCATTCCCTAGACTTGGGCACAAGGTTGTAGAAGAGTGGAGAAGCTAGCTGTCAGTAACAAGTGTGCATGCATTCATTCCCTCTGCCCTTGACTGTAGATGTGATGTGATAAACTCCCTCAAATCCCTGCCTTGAGTTTCCTGAAATGACAGACTGTGACCTGGAAGTACAAGCCAAATAAACTCCTTCTCCCCTATTCTGTCAGGATGTTTCATAACAGCCATGGGCTGTCTTCATGGTCATGGACAGGTCTGGGGGTGGCTCTGACTCTTAAGTCCACACCCAGGCTTCAGGCTTCAACCTTCATCACAGTGGAGGTTGGGACAGCAGAAGGCATACAAACACCAGGCCTCTGCAAGCCAATAGAGACTGGGGGCTGACATGTCACCTTGGAAATGACCATGGAACTGCCTTGCTGTCCTCATCCTAGGAGCTCAGCAGGCTGTTGTGACTTCTCTGTGACTTCCCCCAGGCACCAGGTGGTGAAATACAGAGGCACAGAACCCATGGATAAGACAGACCAAGGCCCTACCGGGCTGTTTTCTTCTGCTTTAAGAATCTGGGTCACAGCTATCTCCCTCAGAGAAAGACTCAGTTTGACTGGTGTTTTGTTTGGTTTTTGAGGCAGGCTGTCATGTAGCCTGTGCTGGCCGTGAACTTACTATGAAGCCAAGGGTAACCTTGAACTTATGGTCCCCTGCCTCCACATCTCTAGTGCTGGGATGGCAGGCATGCACCACGACACCCAGATGATACCCTACTGATGCTCAAACCCCAAGACTTGTGCATGCTAGGCAAGAACTCTATAACCTGGGTTATGTCCCTAGCTCTGTTTCTTTCCCTAATAAAATAAAAGGCCAGGTATGATGGCACACACCTGTAATCCCAATGCATAGGAGGCTGAGATAGGAAAAAGGAAAGCCCAAGGCCAGCCTGAGCTACATACAAGACCCTATCTCGGGAAGCCGAAAGAAAGCCAGTCACTTCTGCTGTTTTGTGTTATTAAACCTGCTTTGGTGTGAGAGCTCCAAGAACCATAAAGTAATCAGTTTGGGGGATAGAGATGGTGATAAATGGATCCCCTAGCAGTTAAGTTCATTTGCAAGACCAGCATCTACCAGCATCCAGACAGCATCTTCCCTGGCTCAGTGCTCAGCCATCTGCCAAGGTATGCCTGCACCACTCACCATCTGTGATGAGAGCTCTGCTTGTCAGGACCTTCCCCAGCATAAACTTCAACACAGCCAGGACACTGCAAAGGATCCCACTTAAAATGGAGACACTGAACAGGAAATCATCCTAGAAGAGAACATTCCAGATTTTGACATGCCATCTCTTGCTAGAGCGATCATCTTCACCACTAGCTTTGTGCAAAGCGCAAGGAACTGGTCAGACATGCTGCCACCAGGTGGCAGTATAGTGCAAGCAGTCACCTGTGTGACGGGAGTTGAGAAAAGATTATTTAAAAAAAAGCCAGACTAATATTTGCAAAGCCATTGTGTACCCCCCCCTTGCTATTCCCCTTGCTATTCCGCTAAAACACAGAGCAATCATTGATTGTCAACAGGGTTGGTCATAATGCCAAGAATGATGTCTAAGCAGTATTCTTCAGATAATTCACAAAGCAGGCGATTGAGAAATTGGGACCACATCACTAAACCCTTTCTCACAGAACCAACTGGTTTAGCCACAGGATCATTTCTGTCCAGACATACTTAAAACCCTATTTTTTCATTCACACAATTGAGATTTCAAAGATAGTCTTCAAGGTGGGAAAAAATGGTGCCTAAAAATAGTCCACTGTTGACGTGATGTTAACAGTTCCTGTAGGTGCTGCATTAACGTTTGCAAGCAAATGGGTGAGTCACGTGCAAGGCTGGCATATTCTTTGCTCTCTCCTGACATCAGGCCCCCTGAGATCCCCATATGAGCTCCCACGCGCTGCTCCCCTGAGACACAGCCTCCAGGTTCTTCCAGATTAAAATGCAACTGCCAGCAGAAATCCAATACGGTAGCAGATATCCAGAGAGAAATAGGATCTTCCTTAAACATTTTATTAATAAATTCACTATCCTAGTGACAGACGCAGGGACAAAGGAGACAGCTTGGTTTGCCAGGCTGGAAACTAAATCATTTCTAAAAACCACCTCTCTGGATTTGGGGTTTCTGCATAATATTAAAGTATCCCCCCCCCCGTCCCGAAACACCCACCATGACAGAAGCAGCTCTGATAGTATGTGCTCCCAAATTCTTGTCTACTCTTTCTTCTAGGAAGACCAGTATCCCCATGATCACCAGCTCTCCTGGAACCTGGCTGGATTTCAAGCCTCAAAACTAGCAAATCCAACATAGGGGAGGGTAAACAGAGGCAGCTAAGATGGCTGGGTGGGTGAAGATGCCTGCTGCCAGGCCTGCTGCCATGAGCTCACTCTCTGGTACCCATGTGACGACAGGAGAGAACTGATTACCTAAATTGTCCATGGCCCTCCACCCATTCTGTGGCAAGTGTACACACACTAAATTTAAAATGTATTAAAAATTAAAGAAATGGGGAAATGGTAACATCAGAGGGTTTAAACCCACCAGACTCTACCTAGTCAAGTAATCGAGGTTAACATAAGCTGTGATGCCACATGTCCTATGAGGGCATGGGACTGCGCCTCCATTGTGGCTCACTTCCAAATCCATGAACTCCATTTAATGTGAAGACTGCCAAGCAATCCCAAACTAAAATACAGCTTATAAAATACCAATATCTGACCTTCATTTCACATACGTTAAGGTCTCTAGAGGCAAAGGTACTTCTGAAACCTGTCATCAACGAAACACTGGAGAGGTGAGATAATTATAGTATGGCATTTGAGGATAGGTTCAGGAAAAAAAAAAACATCACTGGAAATCAAAACTGAATTCATAGCTTTTTCTGTATGTTATGGCCCCATCGTCGTGGGCAGGGATGGGAGGTTATGAGCTACTACTAACATGGGGAAAATGAATGGAGGAACTGAACCCCTTGCACAGAGTCAGATTCTTCGAGAATCTAAAGCATCCTGGAGTAGGAGAGATGTCTCAGTTGGTGAAGTGATAGACCCTCAAGTGTGAGGGTCTGAGTTTGATCTCCAGAACCAACATAAAACAAGTCAGGTGTGATGTAATCCCAGAGCTGGGGCTCACGGGTCAGCCAGACCCATCTAATTAACAGGCTAAAAAACAGTGAGAGAACCTGTCTCAGGAGACATGGTGGATGGGGCCTGAGAAGTAAGATCTCTGGTCTACACACACATACAGAGAGAGAGAGAGAGAGAGAGAGAGAGAGAGAGAAAGAGAGAGACCACAGGTATACACCTGCACACATAGGAACGCATACGCATACAAACCTACACATACATACACCAAACACTGACCTAAAACATTTTCAGATTTAAGATTTTTTTTCAAGGAATCAACCTCATGGAACTGTTGCTTCTTGATACTTGTCCACATGAGGTCACAGAGAAGTCAGCCATCTTTGAACCAGGAAGCAGAGCCTCATGAGACACCAAAGCTTTTACCCAGAAACTTGATCTTTGAATATCCAACCCCAGAAGGGTGAGCAGTGAATTTCCATTGTTGGTAAGCCACCTAGGACATTTGGTCGAAGGCTAAGGCTCCTCAGTAAGGACCCCCACAACATTCTCAGGAGCTGTTGTCACCTGCACAGGATTGGGCCCATCAACAGTCTGTCACAGAAAGAGGGGTCTAATCACGAGACTCTGCATGGAGGGTAACAAAATCTAAATAACCCCTCAGGTATGCCTGACAGATTGTCTCCAATGAGATTCTAGATCAGTGGTTCCCAACCTGTGGGTCGTGACCTCTTTGGGGTTGAATGAGCCTTTCACAGGGTCACGTAAGACCATCAGAAAACAGATATTTACATTATAATTCACAACAGTAGCAAAATTATATTTATGAAGTAGCAAGGAAATGAACTTTATGTCTAGGGATCACCACAACATGAGGAACTGTATTAAAGGGCCACAGCATTGGGAAGATTGAGAACCACTGTTCTAGACACTGACCAAGGTGACAATCAACATTACTACCACGTACAGGAGTAGTGACCCTCCGGAGACCTCAGAAAACTCCCTTGTGTGGGGACAAGACAAGAAGATGCCATCTAGCTGCTGATGTTTTGACCTTGGCCTTCCCCCACCTCCAGAACTACAAGAAACAAGCATTGCTTGTAGACTGAGCCCCTAGTCCACAGTACTCTGTGGATGTGGCCCAAATGTTCTAAGACAGTGTCTGTGCCCTTTAGCTGTTTGTTGTTTTGGTTTTGGTTTCATTTTATTCTACATATATGGGTACTTTCCCTGTATGTATATCTGTGTACTATGTGTGTGCCTAGTACCTGCAGAATCCAGAGAAGGCATTGGATCCCCTGAAACTGGAGTTATAAATGGTTGTAAGTCACTACATAGGTGTGAGGGGACTGAGTCCAGGGCCTCTGGAAGAGCTGCCAGGGCTATTAACCACTGAACCATTTCTCTAGCCTCTGTGCTGATTCAATTTATTGTCCACTTGATACAACATAACCAAGAGAGCTTTCTTCCATGGTTCCTGCTTGAGTTCCTCCCTTGACTTCCCTCAGCGGTGGACTACAGTGTGATGGTGTGGCTCAGGAAGATAAGCCAATGGACCCTTTTGTCCCCTAAGTTGCTTTGGTCATAGCATTTTATTAAAGCAACAGAAATCAAGCTAGGACAGTGCCTGACCCATGCTGAAGTACACCTTACAAGAAGCCACCTCCTCTGCCCTCAAATGCCTCTTGCTTTCCACATTGCATGTGACAGTGGTTGTTCATCAGTCCACGTGAGTGGTGTGTCTTCGTGAAGAGCTAATAATGGACAGACTCTAATTTTCTAGTTTCATTGGTCCCAAAGTGTGAAAAACAACACCTTAACTTGGCAGAACAAACAGCTGGAAGAGGAATCCAAGAACTTGGCAGATTCTAGTTGCCGATAGCATGTTTCTGCTGGATGGTAGCTCAGTCTGGGCTGTGTCCTTGCAAGCAAGACCTGGTTTCCACCCTAGAATCCACACAAAAAATCTGGCCTTTGGGGTACGCACTCATAATCCCAGAGCCAAGGAGGTAGAGACAGGTGGGTCCTTGGGACTCATTGGCCAAACAGCCTAGCCTAATGAGTGAGTTACAGGGTTAGTGAAAGACCACATCTCAAAAACTAAGGTAGACAGTTGTCCTGTCTTCCACTCGTATACACACACATGGACCTGCATTCACACAAACATGCATACAAGCACATGCATACAAAGCTTTGAATTCTACACTCTGGTCTATGCCAAGATTAACCCCATCTTACTTAGTAGAAGGGATCAGGGACACCATGTGAGTTCCATAAGTGACCACAGCAGAGGAGAAAGTGTCCCTCCTGGAGTCAGGAGGGACTTGTGACCTCACACAGCAGCAGAGCTGGACCCAGAGTTAGGGAGAAGCCACTTCACATTGCAGGGAGGGCACAGGCTTGGAGAATGGGGGTGGGGTATGGGAGTGTGGGTTTGGGGTGACCTCAACCCATTGGCAAAGACCTGTACTCTTGATTTCATGTCTCTCCCCCCCTTCTCTGCCTACCAAAGGCTACTCCTCTTCTGTTCTCTCATCCCAGACTGGAAGGTGGAGAAAATTACAGCTCTTCTTTACAACTCAGAGGCAATCTGGAAGAGCTGATAAAACCTGAGCTAGGTGAGGATTCTCATGCTGATGTGTGACATCTGTCATTGGGTGCTAGGTTAAAGACCCTGTCAACCAAATCAGGTTTTCCAGTTAGCTCTTTTCCTGGAAGATCCCAGGCCCCAGTGTCACCTCAAATGGCAATATGTGGGCTGGTAAATCAAAGTCCCCATAAAGTATGATTCTCTATTTCCACAACAGATCAGAAGATACAAGTCCAGGTAAAGCTGCTGGATGGAGCTGACCCCTCAGCCTATTTTAATTCTGCTGCAGCCATGCTGACCTCCTGGTCTCTCAGGTATGGGTAGTGTGTTCCTATTCCCAGGCCTTTGCATAGGTTCTTCGGCCTGCCTGGAAACTCAGTGTGTCTTCATGGCCTACACTGTCCCTTCCATCATCTCCCCTTCTCTCTGAAAATATCACCTCCTCAATCAGGTGGCCCCTGAACTCAATCCTTTCTCATTTTCAGATGGTTTTGCTGTTAAGTAGAAGTGTTCCCCCATAGGGTCATGCATTTGAATGAGCACTTTGGTCCCTGGCTGGTGGTGTTGTTTGGGAGGTTGTGGAA